TACGGATTATATTAAAAATTTATAGTAACAAGAGATATTTTTTTAGTTCCAATATCGGAAATCTCTCATTCAAATTCGTGATAAAAACGAAAACAACGTCGACATATCTTTTGTTCTTACGTGAAAATAAACCGTTAAATCATAAAAAAACATAAGATAACAACTTATAATAAAAAACAGTACGCCTTTTCAACGATGAAATAAACGTTCACCTGTGCGAACGAACAAAGCCTGCAAAATGATTCACGTTTCCATTTTTAGATGTTTTTACTAATGTTGGATCTAAAAAGAAAAATTAATTTGTATAATATATCTCCGCATTACGGTTAAATTAAATTACGGTTAAATAGCAAGGAAATCATGTCCCTTCAGTCATACCATTTCAAATAAAATTTTCCCATATTTGCTTGATGAACAGTTCGTTTATGTTCAAATAAATAAATCAATCAAAAAAAAATTGAAAACACGTTACAGAAAGGATCTTCAGAAATATTGTTCACAATTTTTATTGTGTCAATAATCAATCAAAAAAATTTGAAAACAAATTACAGAAAGGATCTTCAGGAATATTGTTTACAATTTTTATTGTGTCAATAAAATACATTGTTTTGATATCTCACATCTGAAAAAATTGTGAAAATTCAATAAAAAGTTACGAGCAGCTGAAACAGTTGAATCAAATAAGCATAAATACCTCCTTATGATGAATCATAACAAACGTGAGCCTTACCGTTTTATACCAAACATATCGTGATATATATGCATATGAAATATATCAAATGTACGTAGATCCCGCTTGTGGCGGTGATGAGAATGTTGATATAAATTAAATCCTCCATTTATTCAAGTTAATATTATCATTAAAAAAAATTGAAAGCGAATAAACATAACACTTTGCACAAATTTAACTTTAATGAAGATTTATTATAAATAACTATTTTTCTAATTTATCACTAGCCGGAAAACTTTTCTATAACAGATTTGAAAGCACGCCTGAAATAATTAAAATAATTTAAATCATTTGAGAAAATTGATCATATGATTTGTGTAATCATAATAAATTTGTCCTTACACGTTAAACACGCTCCTTACACATCATCATCCTGTAGCAAGTGACAGGAGAAGTTGCACACAGAAAGTGAAATGAACCATAGACACCATTCCCGTTTTTATAGACGCAACTATTGAACCGATTCCCTGATGAATAGAACGGAGAACAGCTAAAATAAGCACACAGATCGTTGTGGAAAACATCACTCAGTTTTGGATGGCATCGGGATATAAATAAATAATTTAAACCATCAACCTTATCTCTACTGTATCAGATTCAAATTCTGATCTGGAGTGTTTTTAGTATTTAGTATCTATTGATAATTAATGAAATGGAAAGTGAAATAAATTATAAATCACATTGAACGAGCAAAATCTGCGTCGATCAGGTTGTAGAACCATCTTACATTATAAATAAGTTCACTTCCAAAAGGCGACATGTTGTTTTAAATAAATTATAAACACAAAAATTTTATGACTAATACAATATTTTTTACAGTGGTATGCAAACAAAAGACTTTTCAATGCAAATCAGAAAATACAGTCAACAAAGAATTTTTATTGGGTATGTTAAAACAAAGAACTAAAGAAATTGTAAACAACGAATTTAGAGCGGGTTAACAAGGGACTGAAACGACTTAAGACTGATTTATCGCGGGAACACAGAAAACAGAGCGCTAACCTTATTATATAAAACCACGGATTGAACAGAAAATTTAAATTAAATTATTCTCCACGATTTATAATCGCGCAAACAATTTCTTGTAAATTTTATTTTTATTTTGTAAAAACAAAATATTTGAAATTAATCATGACGTTTTCATGTGAAGAGGATGAAATTCTAGATTACGAAGAACTGATCGATGAAGTCGAGACAAACGATGAAACAGAAGAAACTGACGGCCAGGTTGAGGATGGATCAGATGACGGACGCAATGATGAAACTATGAATGCCACATCAAAAAAAGCGGACTTGGAAGCATTAAAAATAAAAGTTGACCAAACGTTTGAAAAAATAAGACAGTAAAAATAAAATGCTTTTAAAACTGAAACAATTAGAAAGTTCAGGTAAAAATCTGGTCTCTTCACAAACTGGAGTTCATAAACGCTACATCTTTATTGGAAATGTAGAGTTCAGCACAACAGTTAACGAATTGAAGCTCCATTTCAAAGCATGCTGTCCAATAGCTAGAGCTACCGTCTTCAGTGACAAATTTACGGTCAACCTAAAGGTTTTGCTTATATGGAATTTGTGAGTAAAAATTCCATTGATCTTGCCATGAATCTCAACAGTTCAATTTTGAGAGGAAGATGAATTAAGGTCACGTGCACCCCAGGTGACGAAAACAACAAAATGATACGGGGGTCAGGGCCAGTTACATACCTCCCAGCATCCAGCCGCCGTACCTCAGTACTCATTCCATGCAAAGCGCCACTCACCTCAAGCTCCTCAGCACTCGTCCTACCTTCCCGGATCAACTAGAGGCAGGGGATAGAGCCAACCAAGAACGTTCAATTATTATCGCCCTTACTGAAAACTTAACGGCGGAGATTTTTAAACATTGAAAAATAAATTTTACTTGAATGTAAATATGTACATAATCCATTATTTGTGTTTAAAATGTTAAATTAAACGAAAAAAACATTAAATCGATTTTCTTCGTACCGCTTTGATTTATTTAAGAAAATTTATTTGCTTTCTGCTAGCGTAAAGCTTTGAAACTTTAGCTATCAATTACCAGGTTTTAAAAACAACATTGTCTCCAGGGTTGATAGAATTCTACAAAAAACAGATCAATTTGTTGAAAATTGTCGGCCATTTATTTTTGCAACTCCATAAAATGTTATCGTAACATTCACTTTGCCAGAAAACCATTGAATTGTTGGGATGAGCGCAGAAATTTTGAAAAGAACACCCAGTGACGCACTGCAACACTTGAATTGGTTATTCGAAAAAATTGATGTCACTGTAGCAAAAAACCAGCTTCAAACTGATATATTAAATTTTGCAATGAACAATGTAAATTTTCGAGCAACCCTCGAAGATGGCTGTAACTTGATTTTTAAGATGGAATGGGAAGACATTTAACAATCTCGATTAGTAGAATTACTTGAAAATATGTACACCATCCTATCAGTTGAAAACAACAAAAAACAAAAATATGAATAAAATCATTTATAAAATATTTTGTTTTCATAACATTTTATTTGTATTGCTTTGCATATTCAAATTTGTATTTGGCTTATAAAATTGTTTTGACATTATCCTCACTTCATGTTGTTTGTGTGAGGTCATTTTCAAAATTGAAACACATTTTGAACAAATTTAGAAATTTGCCGAGCCAGTCAACTTTAAAAAAATTTATGCCGATTTACAATTATCTTTGCTTGGCTCTTGTAAATTCACGGCCCGCTCACCAAACAGCATCGACTAATTAACGATGAGAAAGCTGTTACGCCAGTTCATCAGAAATATAAATTTTATACCCTGGTGTTTTTTATGAGTTGTTAGAAAAAACTAGGAGATATTCTCTTGTTTAAAGCTGTTTTGCTTCATTACAAATTTTAACTGGAATAATTAAAATAATTCATGTACGACTTTAAGTTATAAAGAGTTGAAGTTATTGATATATTTTGAACAATAACTACTGTTTAAAACATTAAAACAACAATTAAGATTTAAAACCATGTAAATAATTTTTACTAATATCAGTAACACCTTGTGGTATAGATAATACTGTCCTAGTGGCACGAATGTTTAACTATAGGTTCAGAATGATATGTAAACCGTTTTGCGTGTGACATAACTGCATAATAAAGTACAAACAAGTTTTTATTTAATAGTTTTTACGGAAATTGAAAAAAAGACTCATTCAATTTCTATTAAATTAAAATTAGTTTGTTAAATTACTGATATGAATGTAACGAAACTAAATATTATGCTGAGTATAAGAGTAATAAAGGCAAGGTACAAAGCTATAATGACAAGTTGTTTCATAAAATATAACCATAACCAACGTACCTAACGAAATTCGGCCTCGGTCGGATTCGTGTTTGCAAATCCGACTAAAACCGGCTCCGGTCTGATTTAAACAGGTCAAATCGGTTCAGTCCATGGATATATATATATAAATCCATATATACCAATGGTTCAGCCTTAGTTAAGTTAAATTAAAGTTAAAATAATAATTTTGATTTTTTAAAATCATTAACTTCAATTAAAATAAAGTTGTTCTATTATTTCATCATTATTAGTACGATAAAAAATGAAATAAATAAATAAAATAAAACAAAATAATTAATAAATAAATAAAATAATTTATAATAAAATAAATTTACTTATTTACTTAATTATTTACTAAATTTATTTAATCACTAAATGCTTGCTTGGCCAAAACGTTCAACGTTTAATGTACACAAAATTTAACTTCAACTACGTGAATGCGTACATTAAAATTGTGTTACAGGAATGTAAATGTTGTATGCAATCACAAAAATTTCAAAACTGCGTATAAACTTATTATTTTTATTTTTTATTGTTATTATAGTCTATTGTTTTATATATATGATTATCTTTAACAACTTTCAAAAATTAAATGGATTAGTAAGATATGCATTGTGGTGTCATTGAAAAAATAATTTTGATTTTTTAAAATCCTTAACTTCTTTTAGATTTAATTTATATCATTTCATCATTATTAGTACAATCTTAAAATTGAACCAACTGCAAGTAGAACATTTTCGTTTATTTTGAATTTTTTCATAACTTTTGACCTTCTAAAGACTTGTGAATTTGACAAAGTGAGAGGCATTATTTATGAAAATAAGCGATGCTTCTGATAGATCAAATCAACAATTTATTAGTGAGCCGTTTTGTTATTAACACTCTAATTTTCAATGGCAATTGATTTAAATTTAATGAAATTTGTAATAGAATTACAATGGTAACTGTTTAATAAAAGTTATTATATAGTCGAGTGGAATTTGTTATTTAACAACTATTTAAACGTTCTCTAAATCAACTAAATGCTGAAATTTGCTGAATTTTAATAATTCAACACATCGAAGTGATGATTCAAAAATATTCTCCACAAAGTTGCGTTCATGTGATGCATGCTTCATATTCAAACGAGTGCAACGACGTAATGTTAAGCATCTTCGTACTTTGTTCGCATCTGTGCGGTTCCATGTTAACACATCTCAATATTTTTATCAACTTTTATTTTTCAGTTTTAACGTTTAAACACGTGTGCATAACAAACACAGCTGTTGAGCTTATATCTATAACTGCGGTGTTAAAACTTAACTCAGCTCTACAGAAGACAATGGTACTTTTAATGAAATTATCCTTTTGTCTGTGCACGACGCTATTTATTATCGGTAACGAATTTTTAAATTTTTATTAGTAATTTCGTTCAATCACGTTACACCACCCATGTCATTGAAGGTTATTTATCATAAACTTAGGGTGGCATAGCATTCCATCATCTGGGGCTTTGATCGAGTTTGTTCCTGGCAGATCATACGAATATCTTTACCAGACACAAGTGAAGCTGGATGACAAGAGTAGGCACCAGCAAACTAATAAATATAAGGCCTCAGGGTACAAGGCATACACCAAATTCAAAGTTGCATCCATCTGGAGCAGCGAAAATTTGCATGAGCACATCATCAAACTTTCCGTAAGTTGATAAATTTTACAATTGTTATAATAAAATTTTAGGTAGATGTTGGATACTTGTATAAACAAAACGGTTGTTTGAAAATTTTTCATGTATACTCAACTGGTCGCATGTTACGTACATTCAGGCCTCAGATAAGCCACACGGTAATCTTCCCCCACAAGACAAACACTTTGAATCAATTCTGAAGTCTCCGAGCTATTTTCATTGGAACAATGGACTAGTGCAGTACATATACACACATGTTACGCCATCAGGGGAGTTGAACATGCTGAAGTCACTCATCGACACGTTCCAACTGCACAGTGTTCTTGAAACTCAGAAGTTCATCCAATTCGTAAGAATTTTCAACTTAATTTCAAGTTTTTTTTATTAAATCAACTCAACATACTTCAAAAAATAAATATAAAAACATTGACATGGTTGACAGGCGGACATCAGAGGTCAGTGCAACGTGACACTTTCTATGGATGACAACAACGAACTCACAGCTAACAAAACCTGCATCAACAGAAGCTACTTGCAACGATCGACCAGCTACTACGTTTGTCGCTTCTTCATTTAAAAAAATTTTTTTTTTATTATTACGAATCTTTCTTCAATATTTTTAGAAGCATCACAACAAACACACAAGTTGCCGAATCAATTTTTAACAGTGATTAGCAATGATAATTAGTACATAATTTTTAACAATATTTTGTAATTTTATATATTTTTTTAAAACTTACAAAAATGCAAAACGTGTGAAAATACATAATATGAAACCTTTTTACTAAAAAAATGTAACAGTGTTGTAAGCACTAATGAAATTACTAAAAAATGATAAATTAGAAAACAATAAGTATAATAACAATAAGCAGTAAACATCATTCGTGCTAAAAATATTAATTCTCATCATCGTGTTCCATGGCGGTTGGTTCACGAATCTGACCTTTAACCTTTTAATAATTAGCTGTTGGGATTGTTATGTCTTGCGTGCCCTTTGCAGCATTTTTTAACAAAGGAAAGGTGGCCTAGTTCAAATGCAGTGTTCTAAATTTTAAATTATCGACTCTTCGCATGTATTTGAGTTCAATGTTCAAAATCAGATGAATGTCATCGTCTTTGCATATGTGGTGGGTACTAGATTTAAATAAACAGCCGAGTAAAAGAATATGAATTTTTTATTAATTTTAGTTGCTTAAAAAAGAGTTAAATTCTGCTGAAAGGACGAAGTTTAACGAAATCGAAATTATAAAATTAACAAACAAAATTTGAAATATTATTTATTTTGAATTTGTCTGATTCAACAGCCACATTAAATATTGGAAAAATAATTTCAGTACTCATTAAAAAAATCTAAATTTATTTTCATTACTATCAGACTCTGAGTTTGATCTGAAATAATATGGAATATCTGAAAAAAATAAATATAATTTTTAAGTAAATTTCAAATTTTAAACAAAATTTTCAAAAATAATTAACCATGATCTCTTCTATCGACGGAGTGAGAATTTGACGGCTTCAAGACTGTAGGCAGATACGTAAGATAGGGTTTACAATGGAAAATAACATTAAATTCCTCTTTATTGATTCATAGTAAATCCTTCTTATATTTAAACGTAATATTACCTGCATCCCTTACATATATCTACAACTTTTTAATCTAAGGATTTTATCAAAGTTTTGAAATGTATGTTATTTGTAAGCAACTTACAATTTCGTGGCAGACCGACTTCGCTTCTGTCATTCCACTTGTTTGACCCAAATTTTCGGTTGTGACGAGGATCATATGATTCGGATGTTTCGTATGCCTCCAAAGCTTAAATGAGTGCAGATATTAATTTGTTCTCATAGTTTAAAATTTTGTGTCTTGTAATACTTTTTTTTAGCAAAATGAATGACTATAATTTTTGAATTATTCAATTAATATTCTTCAGGCATGTAACATAAAGTTTGGGTTCTAACAGAACCATTTTGTTTTATTTTCTATCATTTTCAAACTTGACAAATGTATCGCTAAACATTTACAAAAACAATTTCCATTATTTAATTACAAAGTTTTATATCCTTTTTTCTAGAATGCAGCTATCCAATCCAGTTCATATAATCATAGTTCCCTTCTTAGTTTAAATGTCGGGGGTCTTCCTTTTTCTTCCGCATATATTACCGAAAATTTTTTAATTTCTCACTTTTTATTATTTTTACAAAATATTCAACTTATTTTTTAATTTAAATTTTTTAATTTTCGCGGCTTTTGAGGCCAGCACTCCTTCAACGGATATTTTATAGTTGGAGTTAAGAAGCGATATTTTATTTGCAAAAATCACAAATCTTTTTAAATTAGTTTTACTTTTACTTAAATCAGATAAGATAAAATTTTACAAAATTTTCATATAAAGTTTGATTTTAAAATAATGCAGCGCTTCCGCATGAGTAAAATTTGATAAATCTATCTGAAAGGGACTGATTTTAATATAAAAATTTAATACAAAAATGTGGAATAAGCCAAAAAAAAGTCTAACGGTCGTCAACATTTTAAAAAGTAAAACCTTAAGCTCGACACAAAAATGTTTTTGCTACGCCAGTTCGGGAATGCTTCTTATGACTATTTTTTTAAATATAAAAAATGCAGTTCATTTTAGTTTTTGATCTGAAATGAAACTACTTCCAATATAAGTTAGTCAGTTTTTTAACGCATCTTGTTTAAAAATATGTTTGTATTGTAATATGAAACGAATCTATATAAACCAATGACGTGAAATAAAATCACAACAACTTATTTTATGAGATCTTATTGAAATTTAAAACACGAATTACCAACCTGGGAACCTTGAAGCGACCAAGCCACAAAATGCAAAAGTACAAATCATTATAAGTAAATTAACGTTAGATGTCGCGAGAGCCATGCTAAGATTTGTCGAAATGCTTCAAATTCGTTGGAGCAGTTCCCTATTTATACATGTGCGTATAGGTCGCATTTATATTAAACTTTAAAAATAACTAATGTGTAAATTATATACATCAGGAGTGGGCAAACTACGGCCCGCCAATCCATTTTATGCGGGAAATAGTTTTCAATGCGGCCCTCTCGCAAAAAGTTTGCCCACCCCTGATATACTTACATGTGTGTTATATATATATATATATATATATATATATATATATATATATATATATATATATATCAACAATCAACAATATATATATATTTATATACGTATGAGCGTGCGTGTGTCTGTGTAAGGCTTACGTGCCTGCAGAAGTAGCGTGTACGTTCTGGTGCTCATATGTGGACTACAAAAAATAAAAAGTTCAAAATATGTTTGTTGGTTTGTTGAATGTTTCTTTGATATTTTCTCAATCAAGATATTTTGCGCACAACGACACCAGCATGAAAGAAAGGTACTCAAAAATAGCTAGAACTTATTAGAGACTGTCGCCATCCAGAATTGTTCAATAATTTTCTTATTAATTTTCATTTTATTTTCGTAGACTTTCGATGACTGGCACGCAGAAAGTAAATAATAATTATTTTTTGTTTCTATGTTGTTTTTATAATGAGATGAAAAATACCGAAAATTGTAAAATTATTTACAGAAATTTGTCAGAATTTACAGTTCATTAAAATCAAATGACTTAACGATCAATTTTTTTAGAATAATTGTTAGGCACGCAACCAGACACGCTGTTTATAAACAACGATGGACTAAAAAGCTAATTAAATATAATCTTATTTAAACTTCAAACAATTTTTTCAACTTAAACCCAATTTAACGTTAGAACGATCAACATTGCTTGCATTGCATTCTAAATTATAATCTTTATCTCTGAATGTTGCAATACCAAACGGATGTAATCATTAATGTCTATTATTATTACATTGACTGGATAAATCGAACATTAATAAGACATCGAACACAAAATGATCAGCCACTAGACGTGGAAGTGACCTCCCATTCAATTGGTCATTACGAATTCACCGACGACAAGTTGGTCAAAAGGTTTGTAGCTGAGGAAGTTCAGAACGTCAGTCCAGTCATCAGAGCTTTCCAGTCAGCCGTCGTCACCGCCAGGTTTTTTCTTTTCTTTCTTTTACAGTTCATGGTTGTACTAATAAATGTTGAAACTTCAAAACTTTTTTAAAACTTAAAATGGAGAGTTTTTCAATTTCAATATTTCTAGACAAGAGATAACACTGGAAGGTTACGCCGATGATGAAACTGTTCTTACCGACACCTTTGATTCAATAATTCTTGATTTCGGTAAGAAAAAACCATTATTTTGTTTAACTGAACTTATGGATTTACTGATAATATGTTGGCTTTATAATTTAAAGAATCGAAAATGAACGAGAAGACAACGTTACGAAATTTCATTGACGACGACATAATGGAGGAAATTGAAGAATGCATTGATGTAAGATGCATTGATTTGATCTTATTCACATTATCTTATTTACACTGATGTTATTCACCTCGATATTATTTACGTTTGTTATCAAAATATAACTGTATCAAAATAAGGTGTAAAATATTTTTACCATTCTCAGTTAGCGCAATTTGTGAAGAAGCTAAGAAAAGGTTTCAATAAAGTTGGAACTATCGAGAATTCACGCTCCTTCATTAAACTCGTCAAATGCTTCAGAGAAGCCAATAATGAAACCATTGTTGAAGCGGTTCTAAAAATGAAGAAACATTTCGCATACTAGTAAATATTTTGAATTTATGTTAAAATATTTTTTAAATTTAAAAAATATGTTTGTAAAAAACTATAAATCAGAAAATTTACTTATTAGATTGTATTCTTATTTACGTTATTAATTTTTAAACAATTATCTTAATACTTCCAGCAAGATCTTATTGGATGCTGTGTGTGTGGCTCAAACTTTTTCATCTTACAAAGCTCTCATGACTCTCGTCGACTTCAAAGATGAAAGCAACATTTTATTGGAGAAGATACTTTTCTCTCTGTCACTGGCGACTTACCCACCAGAAGAGTACATTGCATTTTTATTGGTACTCGCATATTTTTCATTAATCAATAATAATAATAATGATGATGATGATGATATTGAAAATAATAAGTGTTCGATTGGTAGCAAGAGATATGTTTGTTGATGCTGACAGACGTTGCGGTCCCCATTGACACGCACGTTTCTTTCTAGAGAAGTTTAAAAGTTATGAGCAAGTCCAAAAATTTTGAGATGAAGATACAAGAACATCAGAACACGCAACACCTCTGTAAAACTTGGCGCGTTTGAACAGAACAAAATGACTGCAAAGTTCTTTTAATGATCTAATTTGGAGGAGAGTGTAGCACACACACACATATATTAATTCGCATATATGGTTGCACAAATGAGGAAAGTCACCATGTTTTTCGGTAGTACAGTCGACATAGTTCAAACGTTTCAGTTGACAAAATATAAAATTTTATATTTAGGGAATCTGAACGAAGTATGTCAAACATCAGCTAGAGAAGGTAAAGTATAAACAAAATGTTATTTATTTATATAACGCGGAACGTAAACATCTAAATAGAAAAACACGTGCACATTAGCATATTGCTTGAGAAAAAACGCAGCTTACACTTCATAGTGTAATAGACGGGTAACCAGGCGATGGACTTTTTGCCTTACAAATGTTCATTGATATATTTTATGTTAAAATCAGTATTAACTCGTCCTTACTGTTTTTATTTTTCAGTCGGAATATTTGAACGTCCATATATTTATATAGGCTCTACATGATTTAATTTGAACAGGGTTTGATCAAGCACCCTTTTAAAGACTCCAGACTATATGAAGCAGCTTTGAACACATTAGGAGCTCTCCTACATACCATGAAAAAACAGACACATCAGAGCAACAATATGGTTAACAAATTTATCATTGAAATTTAATATAAAAAGTAATTCAACGTTCTGCATGGTCCTTTGAAAACATATTAACACATATACAGATGATATGTTAACGCACAATATGTGACGGAAATCGTAAAATGCGTTGTGTACTTTGATAGGTTTATTGAGTTGTTGTATATTTGTTGAACGGCAGACGAATTGAGAGCAACATCATCCCAGAACTCGTTGTTGATCAGTGTCGAAGCAAATGTAAATAAGATGAAGCTAGGACGCGTGTTTCTTTACCATGTTAAAATTTAATGACGTAACCTACATTAAATCTCTTTGTAAAAAATTAATTTTTTTCTCGTTTCAAGTATTTTATTAAATTTATATTTAAATGTAAGTATTAAAATGAGAATGATTTTTTTGAATTACTTTCATTTTTAAGAAAATATTTAAAATGATAAGTAAGTCTAAACTTTATTCCTTGAAATGAAAATTTTATCAGTGGTAGTGACCGTAGAAAGAAATAGCGAATTGACAGGCGCCGCACTTAGCGGAGGTTTTATTATCACCAGCTTAATAAATTCCTTTGTGTGGTGGTGTGATATTTTGACGGCTTCATTCGTTGAGCCGCTAAATCGCATTACTCTCTTAAACATTTATTGAAAATTTGAAACATTTATTTAATTTTGTCAGATCCTTCTCAAATTAAATTTTTCTTCATTTTTCCTTTTACCAGTTGTAACAAGTGTATTATACATACAATAATAAATTTATTTTATTCATATAAAAACTTTTGGCCAGTCCAAAGCATTTTAATTTATGATAAGTGTTATTTTTACGTTGTCTATTTGAAATAATAAATTTTATGCTAAAAATGGAATTGAATTTACCACACAGCTTGTGCATAACGTGGAGAAAGTTCTGCTGCAAAAACTTAACGACTGCGACAACCGGACATCATCGCCATCTTCTTCATCATTAGCATCGTGTCAGGAAGTTCTGCTGAGGTGTTTGGGAAATATGGGCTTTACTAATTCTGTTTCGAAAATTATGGAAGTTGTTGAATCATCTGAAGTTGCCTCCGTATCTGAAACAGGCCTGAAAGCTTTAAGACATGTTGACGATGCAGAAATCGAAAAAGTTAATTGATGCTTATTAGTGAATTTTTACAAAATATTTTCCAAATTAATAACTCGTAATTGAACACACAGTTGAAAGAGAGACTAAAGAATATTTTTCAACAAAAAATAAAAAAATATGAATTGCCAGCGCGAAGTGAGGCCTTCCAACTTCTCTTACGCACAGATCTAACTGAAGAAGACGTAGAAGACATTTACGCGGTGTCACTTGACCCGTCTAATCAGGAATTTGGATCTTTCATTCAATCAAAATTAGTCGATGCTTCAAAGACTGACGAACGTTTAAGGTGTATATTTCTTCATTTAAATTCAATACATTACTTTTAAAATTACAATTTAAATTTAAATTATAATTCAAAATATCATTCTTTTACAGAAATGTCATCCGGAAAGTACAAAAGAACAATGTTCTCAACAATTACGATACCATGACACGAAAGGGTAGCTCTCTCTTTTTTTCATCATCCTTTCTAGGTGGGTTTCATATCATTATATTTTATCTGTTTCAGTCAGTATTATGGCCGTCATTTGTTGGTCAGTATCATAACCAACATTTCATTTTTAAGTTTATATTATAAAATTCTACCCAGTTAATATACTAATGCAATAAATAATAACTTTTAAATATAAAGACAGTCCGCCAATAACTTACAGCATGTACGTTGAAAACGGAAAATCACATATTGTTAGACGATCTGGCATGTCGGTTGATTTGCATTTAACAGAGGAGCCAGATCTTTATTTCCCAACATCTAGAGAACCTGATGATATATATCAGCAACAACGAGAGATTAAACACAGATTCAAAAAAAATTTGCAGTTTTATAAGGTGACAAAATTTAATTCATGTCTTTTTAAATTATATCAAAAATTAAAACACCCAGTTTGAGTTGTTTGCCACTGGAATGGAAGCATTGTTAGGAGAGAAACAGGAAGATGATAACAACAATGAACACAAGATTAAAGAACCAATGTCGGGTACAAAAATATTTTTAACATTTTTTACTAATTAGTAAAAGTAACACGTTTAGAGGCTATTTTCACTACGATTCAGCAGGCTTGTCGCTAGACATCATGGGTGTATCTAATAGACCAACCATATTCTTCAAAAGTCAAGGAGAACTCATGTCTGCACTTTGGAACGCACCTTCCGAACTCACTTCTGCTTTTCAAGTAATTTTGAACGTTCAATTTATGTTGTAAAAATGATGAACTTAAAATTTGTTGGGCAGACTCTTGATCCTTTTATAGTTGCAATGTCATAAACGTGACAAAAATTGTTTATTGTTTAGTTAGAATGTTGACAAATAAATAGTACAATCACAAAAAACATGAGGTTGAGCGAAACAATCCAAAAACATGATTTGCAGGTCAATATTTTGCTACACGATCATCATCAACGGATCCAACTGGAGAACGGTATGACGGTCAATTTGGTTGTCATCGGCAGTATCTCACTCGATCTCTCCGGCTCTCTTTTATACAGTATCTGGAATAAAAATGCACAGTCACTGATAAGAAACACGTAATAGATGCATTTTGGTTTTTCACTATAACTTTTACATTTTTTGCGTCAGAGTTTGAATTGATGAATCTTTAAACGAGAACTTTGGCGATAAATTCGGAAATTTTTGTAATTTGAAAGTTACGTTCAATTAATTTGATATTTTGAAATACCAACCAGTGTTTCCTATAGTTTAGACACTGAACTTGAATTGGTTGACACAAAAGATACAATTAAACTTAACCGGAGACAAGACATACAAACCGCCATCGACTTTATGACGGATGTTAACTTTTCGGATGCGACCGAGATGTGCTTGACCATGTTCACCTCGTCCGCACCGGATTTAAGGTATATTTGTCTGATTATCCCTTCTGAAAATATCCTCAACGAATGGTTTTTTGCACATCAAATTAAAATTTTATTTGCAGGTACGAAATCAATACATATGAATGTTTAGATGGTTGTAAAAAGCCATTTAAAACATCATATAAGCGAGCGGTGACTTATCAGCCTCAGTGTTATGCACTACCACCCAAGAACTATCAACTTTGTAATTCGATGTTCTACTCAAGCCAGTAACTCTTTTTTGTTGCTAATTTATTTTTTGCTGAAGATGTCCATGTTATTAAACATTTTAAATGTAGAACAATAAAATGACAATCAACAAATGTTCAGTCTGAATATAAAGGTGAAAATTTGAAACGCAAACATCAAATGAAACTGAAATAATTTTCAAAAATAAATATCTGCAATATCAGAAAGTTTAGCATCCTTGTTATAATTATACACCGAACAGGTCCCATGACCTTTTGTCCAAATCTCAGTGACTACGATAAATTGATTGGCAGTATGTATATTTAAATATATATATATATATTCTACCGATAGAAAAATTAAACAATAAGTTAACTAACGTGGAACATGGTGTGATTTTCATCAATAATTGCAATTCTGACAGTCATAATCTACTGTCTACATATATATGATATATCAGAGCATTGCATGAACTTTTTTCAGGAACTATTTACCTCCACTTCAAACTACTCCTTAGTCAATTACAAATTTTGTTTCATAAAAACTGGTTAATTGTTTTGTGATAACTTTATTTTGTCAAAAAAAACTATCATGTTATTCAACCATATACATAGACATTAATATTCATCAACATTACAAATGTTTAATTCAAATACAGTGAATTAAAAACAAATTAAAACTCAAAAAATCTAGCAAAACTAATAAAATTATCGACCAAGAATATCTGTAATACTTCAAAAACTGAAGCAAAAAATAAGAATGTGGAGAGGTCTGAACAAAAGGGTGACAACGACCATGCGTCTATGGTAAATATCAGCGTGGTATGAAGATAAGACAATATCTCCAATAACTACCATATTTAATTATCACACGCAGACTGATTTACACAAGCAAAAAACACGTACATATATGTGTGTTTGGGTGTGATCAATGCGAGTTTTTTTCAATGATTTCTAACTCTAGAATTTTAGTATAGGAAATGAACCACTAAACTTGGACTCTATGTTGATCAGAAAGCAAATTCATCGTTAAATAATTCCCCCAAATTAAGCTGCCACAAAATTCTTCAAACTATAAAACATGAGTATGTGCTTTCAATGCTGCTCTTGTTTTCGATCTAAAGATTGCGCGACGCAAATGCCGCTCCTGTGCGAAATTCCATTGTAAAACTCCATGTTTCCAATTGTTAGATATGGATTCGCCAGAGACAATCGTTAGAAAATAAAAAAACCTTTTTAAGGTGATATATGCTATTAACCATGGTCGTGTTGCTTATCTGAGGCTACTGACTTATTGCAAAGGTTTGTACGGTCATTTGTCTAATGTGCATTAAACAAGGTCCAACTAGCACGAAACTGCATTTAGAGGTAAAAAAAAAGTATTAATACGAAACGAACAAATAAATACGGTCATCATCGTCTAGTAGTAGAAATACACATTCGTTTGAAAAAAATATTCGGCCAAATGAAATAAGTAATCCATATCACCTTTATCATAAGGTCAAGTTACACTAGTCAGGTAAATACGATATATATTAAGAAATATTACTGCATGTTAAGCATTGATCAGTTTCTGGTTCAATTTTTCTACATTATGAACTATGCCAGTTTGCATTGGAGAGGCTGAAAAACGGGTCAGCATTTAATAACTGCTGAAATTACATGTACAATGGATGAGGAACGTGTGAATTAAATTAAGGACTAGGACTAGATTCATTGAAAATCAATCAATCAATCAATCAATCAATCAATCAATCAATCAATCAATCAATCAATCAATCAATCAATCAATCAATCAATCAATCAATCAATCAATCAATCAATCAATCAATCAATCAATGATTCTCCTTTGTCCATCGAGAGTCCGTCGAGGCCATGGTGTACATCTAAGCATGCTTTTTACTTTTTCATTTTTTCTTTCCAAAAACCTTTTCTATCTTTGGCCAGTTTTATTGAATTCAGAATACCAGCACCAGTCCATTCAGTAATGTCATCTATCCATTTCTTTGCAGGTCTACCATTTTATGCTCGGTTTCTGTGCCTGACCATAACAGTTTTCCTTTCTTCAATTCGCCACTTCCTGTCCATCTAACTTCACACAAACCAACCACATCATATCTAAACCTCTCAAGCTCTTTTTTCAGCATCGCATATGTTCCAGCTTACCACAGTGACCTCACATTCTAAATTCCAACTGTGAATTTCATCTTCATTTTACCTCTTTTGGACTCATTGAAAAATGAACCTTAAACTGATTAAAGCTGAAATTGCAGTGATATTTAACAATAGTATCTACCGCAGTCTTAACACTAATTAAAGGTTATATATTAAATTATATATATATATATATTTTTTGACACTGGTGATATATATATATATATATATAAACAAACGAACAAAATTCAATATGCTACTATAAATTAGGCGCTTTTAGAGCTGTGCAGTTGAACTTATCAATTGGAAATATCACAAACTTATTGAGAAAATTCGTAGTCCTTAATTTAATTCACACGTTGCTCATCCATTGAGGATGTCATTTCAGCTGTTTACGTACGCCGGCACTTTTTTTCTCTTATGCTAACTGGCATGGTTGAAAATATTCCGTGCGCTACAGCAATGCACTAAAATAAGGTTTGTGAAACCCATTTCAATAAATTCTTTCAAAAGTTCTGATTTTTGTACAGCTTATAAACATGCTTTCTTTAACTTTTTTTTAAATATTATCATCTATATGATTTTTTATCTGAACATCAGATGTGTGTGAGACAGAGAACATGTACGGTTTTCACGATCGTAGATGTAGGCAAATAACATGCTAAAATATCAGTCCATATGCGATATGTATCACAAAACTAAATGAACAAAAATATCAGCACTAAATATAAATTTAAATAACACTGCGTGGATTCAACTTCAAGACAATATGCATACACTCACACTCATTCATATACAAACTCACACTATTATATATATATATATATATATATATATAAATAAATTATGTGTTTCAAAATATTCAAGTCTTTATACGCATCAAAAAAGAAAAAAAATGAGCTACATATGTTTTGGCTGGGAGAGTGAATAGATGAGATGAAAGACATGCATTGAGTTATGTAAGATCATAGATAACTGCGCAGCAATGAAGCATGCTGACAAATTGTTGAAAATTGTTGAAGATAAACTAACACCCAGTCGAAGAGCAAGATGATAATGTGGATGACAACAACTAGTGTGTGGTGCATTCATAGCCAGTAAAAATTATTAAAAAGTTTTCAATGGTTAAGAATGATAGAATCACGAAGATGAAATAGGAGCAAACATTCAAAATCTGTAAAGTCCTTTAACCCTATAGACAAGATGATGACAAAAAGACGATGATGGTTTGTTGGATAGTCTATTCAAGAGCCACATCTAGCACCATCATGATGACGAACCCGACGATGACTCCAAGTGAAGCAACCCTCGTATTTCCACTGTTGTTATATAATCAGATAGTAATTCATGTTTAAAATTATAAATAAACAAATGTAAAATTATGTATATTACATATATATATATATATATATATATATATATATATATATATATATATATATATATATAAACATCATGATTGAATGTCACAGGTGGTGAAACGTCTTCTGCTGCTACCCTGCTGCTGATATATATATATATATATATATATATATATATATATATATATATATATATATATATTATATGTGTGTGTGTGTATGTGTGTGGTGTGTATATATATATATGTGTGTGTGTGTATGTGTGTGGTGTGTGTTATTAATAACAATTATTTCCCAGTGACATTTGTTAATTTTTTCCCATTAGTTCAAATTACCTGTTATTTTATATGTATGTCAATATTCACATGCATATTTCTAGAAGTTTTAAATGTATATGATTTTGACAATTGCATTTTTAATTTCAACTGTTCTGTTATTTCATAATAAATGTGAAATTTTTATTTTTGGTTAGGGTGGCCATACAAGCTCGTTTGATCTTCTGTGTCTAAATAAAATTTGTCTAAATAAATATATATATTTATTGTCATAAATAAAATATATATATATATATATATACATATACAATATATATATATATACATACATATACAATATATATATATATATATACATACACAATATATATATATATATATATATATATATATATATATATAACTTTTCTGAGTAATTAATAAGACGTTTCACCACCTGCCACACACCCGCCATAAAAAGATGATTCACCATCTGTTATTTAAATGTAGGCTTAATTGCCTGCAAGCCGTTTTGTCCTTTATCAAAAAAATATTTTTCAAAATGTTCAAATTTTTTCAATACCACATTTGCCGGAAGTATTATAAGCAGCATTGCTTGTACTTCCAGTGTATAGACTGGCTTGGATTGGAATCTATGTTGTTATTTTGTACGTCAAATTTTTTAATATCATGGTACCATTTTTAAGATATGATAAAAGAAGTGAATCTGTTTCATGAAAAAATGTGACAATGTACAATGGGTCATTTGAAATAAATGTGCACCACTTTTGAACTAATGCAATTTAACGAAACTTGTTTTCTACCAACAAAATTGATGTGCTTGAATAGTTGTAAATTATTATCAAAATCGAAAATGGTCAGTCAAGCACAGGTTTTTTCTAATTTGTTTGAATTCATAGTGACTGGCATAAACATAAAACCAGGATATACTATGCATGCACGTTGTGGATACGTTTACGGGAATAAACAAGCGATGTAAATAATTTAAATAAAAGAAAAACTAAAAAATCAAGCGATAAAAAATGAGAACCATGATTGAGCCTCTGGGATGATGTCATCAAAGACTACAAAAATCATTGCACCTGCAGCAAATGCAAGAACATAAGGCAGAAGAGGATCAACCAAAGTTACACAAATTGCCCCCAAAACTCCAAATATTGGTTCAACCATGCCACTCAACTGTCCATACCTAATATGGCAGTTTATGTGGTGAATTCACATCATGTAGTTAAATGTCATTAGTAAATTATAAATAAGAAAAAATGTTATTAGATCAAATTCAACAAGAACGGTATTTAACATCAGTTGAATATTTAAAAATTTAAAATAATTTGTCTGTTGACACTTTTGTGTTTGTTATCTAACATGACATTCAGCAGGAGGCTAACCTATTTTTGCACACATTTTGAATTCAACTAAATCGTGTAAATATTTAAAAAAATTTTTAAAAATTTAAAAAAAAACCAGAAGCTTCTCTTCATTGACATTCCAGATGCTTTCAGGGGAATACTAACTGCAAGACCTTCGGGAAAATTCTGAATTCCTATGCCCATTGCTAAATTCCTAATTCAATAATATTGTCATAGTCATTCTTATAAATGATATTGTTAACCCAACAATAATTCACGAAAGTAGGTTAATGAGATTTTGAGACAGACATAATAACAATGGAAAAAAAACCTTGATTTGGCAAAAGTTGATGATGGTGTCCTCCCTATCGATCCAAAACTTACTCCAACTGCCAACCCTTCTGATGATAGAAAAAATATTAATATTTATAAAGTTCAATCCAAAATTTACTTACATTCTGTTCCAAAAATAATTTATCATTTAAAATCATATATTAACACTAAAAACCTATTAAAGTATGTTTCAAACTTTGGCATAAATATAAGTTAATGGTGAATAAATAATAATAAATGAAAAAAATTAAAAACCTGGAATATTATGAACAGTTATGGCTATAATAAGTAAGAGAATTCGTTTCCAACTTTTCTGCTTGGAATGATCTTCAGGTTGATTATGCTTTCCTTGATGATGACTTGATTTGTTTCGTTGAGTCAAGTTTGTGTTTAAACTTTGGACATTGTTTTGTGTGGACTTTTTGCTATTTGTGCTTTCATTTTTGTCATCTTTGGCAGAATGAATATTAAAATCCTTTGAAGGTAAGAGTTAATGGGGAAATCTTTTTAAAAATTATATATATATATATATATATGTGTGTGTGTGTGTGTGTGTGTGTGTGTGATGTGATCAACAAAAACTTACAATTGATGGGAGCAAATAGTCCGTTAAAATGACGAATTTGGTGCCAAACAGAAAGCCAACCAATGCCGGAATGAATGAATACTGACCATCCTCTCCATACAGGCCAGATAACTTTGCATGTTCAATGGATGGTTCTAATAATGACCAAAATGAAGCCGCTACCATAACCTTTCAAAAAAATTATCAAATTAATGTAAATTTTAGTTAAATTATAAATAGCCATGCAAATCTTTAAAAACATAAATTAAAAAATGTTCATTAACCCCTGCTGCAAAACCCAAGCTGGCATCCAGATACTGTCTCTGTAGCAAGCAAAAAATATTCCAAATCAAAATAAATGAAAATTTTTAAGTAAATAAAAGATTATTCTTCCTATCTTATTAAAGAAAATATGGAACAAAGGTCATTAATTTGTTGCTATTCCATTAAGATTCAAATTTAGTTAGGTAACGACGTTACGTTAACCATATTAAGCTAATAACAAATAAATAACTGAGGAAGAAAATAGTTAATTAGCACATTATACAACTGCAAAACACTACAAGATTAGTATTATTTCAAGTTTCATAAGGGAGGAGAACTAAAATTTAATTCAGCTTTAATTAGTTTATGATTGTTAACATATTTTAATAAAACTTACAGAATAACATTTTTTAACAGATTAACAACTGTAACATTAATAAATAATACCAATTTAATAATTAACTAATATTAAAATTAAATAAAAAAATAAAATAAATAAAATTAATATTAACTTTGTTTTGTCTGCTTGCAAAAAATAATAGTTACTTATATTTATATAAACAGCAGTCAGTTAGAAACAAAAACATTACTGGCAAACAAGATAAATAACAAAATAAATCATTAAACAATTTTAAAATCTAAAAATTGAATTTATTTTAAAATGTGAAACCTAACTTTTAGATTGTGACAGAAGAAAACGAATCCACTGCCAAGTGCTGTCACAGCCCATGTAAAAAGTGTGCCAAAAAAGGCCTGAACGACCGGATCGAAGCCATCAATCATCGTCAACAGCGTGCAAAGTAGGTAGACGAGCCAACCAACACGCGCGGGTCCAAACTACCTAATTAACTAACCAACCTGCTGACATACCAACCTTAATTAAAACACTGTATGACGAGAACGGCGCTGCTACAATCTTTACTTCTACTTTGTGGCAATGTGGGGATAAATATTGTGAGTAACGGTTATACAAATCCAGGGAATTCAATGTACAAATCAAAAGTAACGCAGTTACTTTTATTGCAAATGTGTGCTTATACTCTATACTTCTCAACTACCTTGTATTATTACTAATTTTTCTTCTACTAGTCAACTATACGCTGTAGATTTCTATATTTATACTTCTTTTCCTCCATTTAATCTTAATAGTGTTATTCATAATTTATCTCTATGTAGGTATCTCTTTTGTTATCCCTTTATGTGACTTTATTTATCTTAAATTAAATCCTTCTAAGTTTGAATTAATAAATCTAAACACTCTATTCCTTCTATGTTATTATTTCACGTCTCACCGATATATGTAAATTAACAACGTAGTACATTTAGTACAATTATTCTAAAACTTTCATTGTTTCTCACGAGTTTCGTAGTTTAGGATTTATCTTTGATTCCAGTATGTCTCTTTCTTTTCAGATTAATAGTGTAGCTAAAAGTTTTTATTTCCATCTTGCGAGGTTCAAAGGGTATCTCAAAACCCATCGGTTAAATTCACAGATGAACGCTATTGAACACTGCTAAAATGGCGCTTTACAAGCTATTTGATTGCTTGCTTGATTTTGATCCCAAGTTGACTTGATACTTTGATACAAGTATTTAGGAGCAAGACCATATAAGCATTTAAAAATAATAACTCCAAACTTGAACTTGATTGTTTGCTTCACGGGCAACCAGTGTAACTTTTCAAAAATTAGAAAAACATGATCAAATTTTGATTTTCGAACTATTATTTTAACAACCTGGTTCTGAGTGATCTGAAATTTGGATAATAATCGGCTACATATACCATGAAGAAGACTAGTGCAGTAGTGTAATTTAGAACTAATGAAGACCTGCACTAATATGGCGAGTGCATTCGCCTACAGATTTCGTAAATTGATGTAGTCGCCGAACATGAAATAGACAATTCTCAGCTAGTGAATTGACAAGCACCACACAAAGGTTATTAACTGTATCGGATAATTTTATGTTAGTCGTGTCAATATACACTGAGGATTTTATCGTAGATTTTTGTTTACATGTACCAGCTAACATCATTGGGTTTTAGTTTGATTCATATTTAATTTGTTTTGACCCAACCATAAATTGATATCTTGATATATATTCAACTAATTGTTCTAATACGGCTGGCATCTCATGTGGAATACAAGAAACGCAAATCTGGATATTGTCAGCATATTCATGACAATAAAAGGTGAACGTAACAAATTGAATATCTTGGCAATGTACAGAAAATACAAAGTCGGTTCGAAAACCGAACCCTGAGGAACTCCTGATGTGAGTTTCATGGGCCTTGAAAGCCGATCAGAATAATGAATTCGTCCAGTTCGTCCAGTTAAAAATGATTCAAACCATATAACTGCCTTTTTAGATACACCATAGCACTTAACCCATTCTGTCCAGCAGTATTTTGCAAAAAACAGTATATAACTCTGAACTCATATCCATTAAAGACAGCAGAGTGATTTTTTAAACGTTGACTGCAGAGTAGATGACCGAATATATCCAGTAGAGCCGTTTCAGTCGAATGAAACCGCCTATATCCAGTCTGATAAAACGACCAAAGGTTATTTTTACCGATATGATCAAGCCAATGTCCATCAACAGCCTTTTTTTGTGAAAAAATTAGGCTGTAAATTTAATTTAAAATTTTAAAAAATTTTAATTATAAAGCATTTGCTTTTAAGACCTGCTTCGTTTGAAAACATTATATAATGCAATAAATTAACAACAACGTTTTAGTTTCGAAATTAAATTAAAAATTTTCAAATATGAAAAAAGTTAAATTTAAAATTGAATTTACAAAAAAATATCATAAATATTTTTCGATATGCAGAATAACAGGTAATAAGTGAATTTTTTACAGATACATATGCAAATATTAACAGGCCATAAAAATACAAATAGGTAAATGTGCATAGTACTAGTGACAAACAATAAAAATGCGGCATATATCCTAGATGTTCCTCTCAGTCCTTAATATTATATAATTATATTATATTACATTACGTGTGTGTGTGTGTATGTGTTTGTGCACGTGCGCGCGCTTGTTTGTCCTTGAAGTCTTGTCCATATTTTTGTTGCTATTTCGTTTATTTACGCCCGTATTCTATGAAACAAAAAATATTTTTGAGAAATGGCCACAAGAAATTAAGTTAAGTTTGAACGAATAAACAAGTTTTACCATAGTAGTATCATGTGTGTGATATCATGAATTTAAGTTATAACAAACCACATAGATAGATAGATACACGTATAAACGTACAATACGACACGTGCACATGGCATGAAGGTAGGTGCATGATCAAATCTTGAGGAACGCTTCACGTTAACAAAAAAATATTTTGTTAAAATGTTAATAAATGTCTAAAATGAATTAAATAAAGTTAAATACTTTAATTACCAAATAATTAATATCATCCAACCATTAACAAAACAATTGTATCAATTAACTCAATTCTTCTATCTCATATAAAAGTTAATACTTCAAAACTTGTGAACGATTTTATATATAATATTAGTATATGCACGATTATATTATTTATATGTTTATTCATGATTATGTATAAATGAATTGTAGATTAAAAAATAAAATAAATTGTAAAAATATACCTGCATATGAATATATAACTAAGATAAAATAATTTTTTTTAGTTTATTACACTGATGTTTCGATGCTTTTAATTCTTTTAGATCATGTAAGGTTCTGTTTTTTGAGTGACATCGCAAGGGCATAAGCCAGTTCTACAGTTGCTGGTATATATTGTTTTGCACAAGTGTTGGATGACCACCAACATTACTGAAGAATGCGAGGATCAAATCACATTTTTAGGTTTAAGTTATTTTTATATAATGGAATTACTGACGTTGTTCGTATTCAAGAGTTGTGTTAAATTTTTCTGATAAAAGTTATCTCTCAATTCTTTTACTTGTGAATATTGTTGTTGCTGGCGTTGCTGTTGATGTTGCTGATGTTGTTGTTGCTGATGTTGTTGCTGTTGGTGCTGGTGTTGCTGTTTTTGTTGATGTTGTCGTTGATGTTGCTGATGTTGTTGTTGTAGCTGCTGGGATATTCTGGCGTTTGATGACGCCTCATGAGTTTGTTGAAGAGTGTTGTGTTCGTGTAGAAGGAGAGGATGCTGTGCTCTCTGGTTGAATGGTTTCGATGGTATGAAAGCATTTGATTGATTTTGAGTTTTGGAAGAATGGTTAATGTATGTTGTATTTGTATCCTGCCTTATGTAGAAGTCCTGGCTACCGTGCTTTGGCTGTGATGAATGATGAATAACAGGCGAGTCCTCTCGGTAACCGACACGTTGCTGAGGTTGAGAAGGTCCAAGAAGAGCACTATTCATCGTAGGTCTATCTATTTTATTAGGAACATAATTTACTTTTTGAAAGTTTTCATCTCTTCTTCTTGGATCAGTAACATGTGGCATGTACTGATTCGTTATGTGCTTAGAATTTTTAAGCATCTGTTGCATTTCTGTCAAAGGATTTGATTTATTTTGTTCAAAAGTTTTTATTTCATTTCCATTAATGAATTTGTCACGACAAGTATTATTTTTAATTTCATAATAGTGGTTATTATTGCATATTTGCTGAAACAAATTTGCAGATGGATTGATAATTGTTTGGTTGTTTGAGGGCTGATTGTTCCATTGAAAATGTTGTTTCATTTGATATTTTCCAAGGTTGTCATCAACGTGGCTGTTTTTGAAACAATTGGCTGTTGGGTGATACTGAGCATGCATGTTTGTGTGTAAGTTTCCCGCAACTGATTGTGAGAGAGGTCTTGTCAGCAGCACGTTGTTGGGCCTGTGCATCTTCTGTTCTCTTTGGTTAACAGACAAATTCTTGTTTAGCCACATATCAACATGTCGAAATTTTTCATTGCGCTCATCAAAACTCCTGCTAGAAGCATGGTTAATATTGTTTGTATTATTTTTAGTTATACTTTTGTCCCCGAACTTTTCACTGCCATGTCTTAACATTTTGCCGCGATCATTCAAACAAAATTTGTTGCAATTATATAAAGCATGATCGTTAGGATATATATTGGAATGGCTCAAGTTAAAAGCAGGAGCATCGAAATCAAAATGATTGTAGTTTGTTGTTTCGGAAAGCAACCTTTTCTCAAACGGATTTGGCCTTTTCTGGCTCAAATCATTGAAACTTTTTGAAAGATATGCTTGAGGTATATTGGAGTGAATTTGAGATAAAAATTGTTCATTTTGGTTCCCATTTTCTTTTAACATTATGATATTATCATGGTTTGTTTGAAATAAATTAGAAACATTAGGAACGCGTTGACTGAATCTACGTGATTGATCAGCTCGGTTCTGGTGGTCAGCAGGAAAATTGGATGTCGCTATTTCGAGCTTTTCTTGAAGATGAAACTTTTGCTGACGCTGTTGTTGTTGCTGTGAATGTTGATGTTGGTTTTGATGTTGATTATATTGTTGTTGGTGTTGCTGTTGTTGTTGAAGCAGTTGCGGCTGTTGAACTGATTGTTGAGAAACATCAGGTGAAGCGTCACTCGTTGAGTTTATGAAAAAAGGCGAACTTTCATAACTTCTGTCGCTCAGATATTTCAGTTTGAATTCTTTTGTCAGTTCACGCTGCTGGTTAGTTTGTGCATTTTGTAAGTTGTGTTTAACTAATTGGTCATATTTGTCATCAAAAGTTTGGGAGATTTGCTGATGAAGTTTGTTGTGTTGAGACTGTTGCATGAACTGGTTTTTATTATAATCTGATAGTTCATTATCGTTTGGGAAAATTATTTCAGACGAAAGATTAAATGGATCGTCATTATTGTGATTGACGTAACCAGAAAATAGACTTCGATGTTCATTGCTGAATTTAATATTTTCATCTTTATTAATTTTTATGACGGAATAAGCTGGCTCCACAGGGTTGTGTTTAACAGCGATATCTTCAAAAACATGACAATCAGGCTGATTTCTATTGTTGTTGACTTTTTTAATAATGTCTTTATTCTTCCCGCCAACAGAAATTAAATCTTTGTACACCGTGTCTTCTTTCGATAAATAATAATTGCTGTTATGAACGAGTGGAATAATTTTCTTGGAACCAGCACTAACATCAAGATCTTTTGATATATCCGATGATGTCTTATCACTCTTTGATGCAAATGAGTTTTTTACATGATTGCTCTCAATTAAGTTGTGTGAATTAACTTTTAAATTTTTAGCAGAGTTTTTAACAAATTTGATATTGTGATGGCCGTCGATTGGGTGGTTGTGTTTGAGGCCTGTTGCCGAATAAATGGTCTGACATGATTCATCCTTCTTTTCAACTTTAGCTTTAGCGGCAGAAATTTCGTGATTTTTTGATTTTATCCATCTAATGAAAATAATTAGTATCCATAGTTGACTTGGACGGTGACAATCATAAAAGTATTTCAAAATTACAGAAATATATTACACGGAGAAAACATTTTTAAAGTAAATCGCAACAAAAGCAAACACTTCAACCTCGACCACCAGTGTGCCTTTGTTTTTCTTAATTTTTTCTTTTCATTTATTTTTTCTTTATCAGGTTTCAGCTCATCTAATTACAATTTTTTGTAATGACAACATTATAATTAAAAATTATATTGATTGATAAATTTCGTTACTCTACACGCGTCACCACATGTCACTTACTGGCACAGTCAGCTACAACATCAACGGGCTCCTCCCTAAATTCAAGATCGTCATCAAATTGGCCCAGCGACTTATCAACGGCTCTTGTTAGGCTGGTGTTTAAGAAATCGTTTTCGTAAACGAACAGTCCATGATGACTGCTGCCAGAATGAACGCTACGGTAGTGTGGCCTGTTCTTCTGTATGAAGACATCGTGATGGAGGTAGTCGTCGTTGGATGCCCAGTGATCCAGCATCAGATCATTCACCGATGAAGATTTCGTTGTAAACGCCGGGTTTATTGCATGCTTCAAATCTTTTAGATTCCATGCTTGAGAAGATTACATTCCAAGTAGGATAACAAAAAAGTATTATTTCATTGCGAAATTCTAATAGATTCAAAATCTATATAAATGTCATAAAAGGCGAAAATATCTACGCGAAGAATAGCTGTAAATAAATTAAAATGTTAATTAGATTTTTGAATAAAAGGTTACTTGTAGTTTGGTCATCAGTCAAGTCTACCATGCTTCTTTTTGAATTTCTTTCAAAAATATTTTATATTTTTAGAAACTCTTTAAATTAATAAAGTTTTATGAATTAAAAATAAAACTATTTAAATTTTTAAATTATATGAATTAAAATAAATAAATTTAAAATAAACAGCCAACAAACCTTGCTTCATTGAGTGGGATATGATTTTTATCCTGACCAATGGGTTAAAATATTTATATGAATATGTTAAATCTTCAATTGAAATATAAAAAAATTGTTCAGTGATATCATCCACTTACGTAGAAATTGTTTCCATTTACTACGTTTTGTGGAAAAATGCCATTGGATTTTTTCTGAAAGGACCTTGCACATCTTACTTTCAAATTTATTTCGGGAAATTTCACCGCCATTCGAAAAATTTCTTGGGCCCTACAGAAAAATTTAATTGGATGAAAAGCAACATTAAAAATAGTATTTTGAAAATCTACAAGAAACGTGACGTCATCGTCATTAATGGCCCCTTAGGAAACTTAAGAAAATAAGTTGTTAATTGATTGATTGGTTAATTGATTGATTGGTTAATTGATTGATTTATTAATTGACAAAACAAACATTAAATTGAATTATGAGACAACAGAAACCTGTCAAAAGTCATTTTGTAAAGGCTGGTGTCATTGATTTCAATAATCTCATCTCCCTCTTGCAACTGACCATCACAATCAGCCACACCACCTTCATCTATCGAGAACACTTTAACACCTGTGTTCCTGTTAATTAGTATCAAAACAAAAATTTGCTTGCAAGTGCACTTTCACACAAGCACATACACCATTACTGTAGTAACTATAGTCAGAATTTGAACAAATATATAAGGGTCATTCTCTGTCAACTTGAACCATGGTCCACGCCCGACCATCTCCGATTTTTTTAAAATTTGAACAGTAAGTACCTCAATGTATTTCATCGACAAAATAAAATTTTTATAAAAAAATTTCAATTATTTTTCAAGTTATGAAGATTTTTGTGACAGCATCCTCAAATTTTTGAGCGATTTTTTTCAAAACTTGTACCTACGTAGAACGCTATATCTCTTGAACTAGCCAACATATCTTGATGAAATTTTTTGTGCATATCAGTGAAACAATGTAATAACAAAAAAAATAAATGTTATTGTCTCGAATCAAAGGATATTTTGAACAAAAAATCTAGAAAAAAATGAATTTTTTGAAAATTTCACCGATTTCAAAACAGCGTAGCTCAAAATCTATCGCAAAATAAATAAATATTTTTTGTTATTTTAGAAGTACCTTATAGTCACAAATAAATCACAAAATTTCGTTAAAATCTGTATTGAATTTTTTGAGCTATCGGAGCTCAAAATGTCAAAAAAATGAAAAACTTCTTTTGTTTGGCGCCATTTTTAACTATGAAGAACCAAACGTTTTTTAATTTTTAAAATTTGTTTATATAGTGCTTTTATAGCTTAACAACATATCAAA